CTGTGGCTTAGGGGGCCCTGGAATTCTCCCACTTCCCAAAGCTCGTGTTGGTTTTATGGGGACCTGCCAATTTGACCTGATTATTTTTATTTGGGCCCCAAGAAGAATTGGGGCCATTGCAAATTGATGCCCAATGTCCATCCATCTTGAGGGTGTTGCCCCGTGGGACTCTTTTTTTGGATTCGGTCGGCAAAAAGCGGGGGGGCCCGCTCCCGGGTCCGCCAGTTTCGTGGGCTTCCCGGCGCTGCAAAACGCCTTCAAGACCCCGGAGGCCCAGGTGAAGGTGGTGCTGAAGGCGGAGACCTGGGGAGGGGAGCGGAGGGGAATGGAAGGTGTTGGGTCAGGCGTTGGTTTGAGGGCAGGTGTGAGTTTCAGGTTTGAAGTTCTTGAGGCCATAATTTTCTGTAGCTAGTTTTGAGGGTCAGGTGTTGATTGCCGGTTTTTGCGGCGAGGTTCTGCGTTTGGGGGAGAACAAGCTTTTGACCCTGTGGGGAGAAAATGTTGGAGCCCTCAAAAAGTTTTTAACGCTCCCAGGGGCTCCTCTAGTTTGCCGAAACCGGGGCCTAATATAGAAGTAACCTGATTTCTTGCCAATCTAATGGCAGCCTGTTGAATATGTCCAGAAGCCTCGAGCAAAAGGAGCTCGACCAGTGTTACGTGCCGCCCGTAGGCAACGAATATGAAGCGACAAAGTGGACGATTCCTTTGTTGCCTTTTTAAACCATCCGATGGGCGCTGTCTCAGTTTTGTTTGACTTCCTAAAACGGGTGAAGGCGATACTGGCAAATGAGGAGCTGTTTGCTGGTTGGGTTACGTTACGCTTCCCAACCACACAGACATGTTGTCCTCTCTGACACGAGCCATCAGAGAAAGCATTTGCCCAAAATACAACGAGCGGGCAACACAAGCGATTCCGTCCATGATGAAGGTCCCTTACTTGGGGATTCTGTATTTTGGTTTGTGAATTAGAGCGATGCCGAGCCCTGATGAATCAACCTGATAGATTTAGCATTAGCCAGGAGTTGGTTCGGGAACTTCCCCGGGCCTTGCCTGCAACCTTCCCACGTTGACAGAGTCGCATAATTGGGTGTGTCTTTCTTGGAGGCCCTCTCCGTGGTTCGTTTTGGGAAGCCAAACGGGTCGAACCATTCCGGGTGTTTCCCCATTTTTGAGACAAACCCTCAACGCCCTGAAGCTTGCATATTTGTCGATGGATTCCCTGTGAACCAAGTCCCATCGAGTGAATCAACCTGGCAGGTTTTGTTCGCGGTTCTGTCGTATGCAACTCCCCTGCATATTGCAGGGATTCTTCAATCATAATATACTGGACGAAGAAGCAGCATGGGCCCGGGATTAATGTGCGTCCAAACCTCGGTGCCCTTTTTCTCCGTGGAGAGAGTTTTTCTCCAAAACCAATCAACACCCTTTTTCCTCCCTGGCCACTGGAGGTGTGGGTCTGTTCTCATCAATGCGCCCTAAACCTGGAATAGATGCTTCGACTCCGTTTCACGAGGGGACAGCGGCAAACAGCGGACACAAAGTGTCCATCGATGTTGGTCACTTGGGTGAGAGCCAGTCCGCGGTGCAACCTCAGGTGGTGAAGAATCTCCGAGTGGCCGCAGCCCAAGAGAGCTCCTCCGAGAACGGCAAAACGGGGACCCAGTTTTGGGTCAGGCGTGGTTGCAACAACCGGACCCTCTTTGGGAAGGAAACCAGTGGATGGTTTAAACACCAGTTGAAGGATAAAACTGAGTTATCCCGGTTGTCCCAGTCGTAACCATTATCACACCCGAGTGTGTCGAACATCCAAGCTTCACTAGGCGGAGGGGTTGCGTGGTTGGCTTTGGTCAACCCTCCATGGATCAGCCCAGTTAGATGGTCATGGTTATTGGCTTTAAAGACAATGGAGCGGAAAACATTGTTCCCTATCTTGCTCATGTTGGCATTGATTTTTGGTTTGTTCTTGTGTTTGTTTTTCTACATTTGGCTTGCTCTTTCACTGGGTGATTCAGGAACAAAACCTCACACAATCGCCAACCAATTTTGAGACACGTGGTTGTGTCACCCAGGATCCAATTGGTTTCAACCCACAGGAAGCTCAGACAGCGCATGACAGCGCCCAATTGCGCGACACCCAGGGCTGTGAGAAGGATTGCCACCAAAGACTTGGAAACAAAAAGCCAGATTTACACATGGTTGAAAGACCGGTTTACTTGGGGTTAGTAGGAATGGTGCACCCCAGGATAAGGATTATTGTCAACGCTATGACCAGGCGTTTTGACCATGGTGCACATGGCAGGGGGCAACACCCAGACGCTTTTGAGGGATGCCTGGCAACCCACAACCCGCCGCCTCGTCTGCAAGATGCTCTTAGTCTTCTGCTATAAGGACTTGTTCCCCAAAGCAAATCTTTCCAAGTTCTTGCCAAGGCCACTTGGAAAAACCTTAGGTGGATTGCCATGAGGCTACGAGGCTTAAAGAGTTGGAAACCCTGACATGGTACATGAATCCGCAGCCTTTCAGATGTTTGCGCAAGAGGGTGAACAGCGTCGGGTCCACGCTCTGTGGCTCGCACGTGAATGCCCGGAGAAGCACTGCGGCCAGGTTCTGAAGAAGATGCAGCTGGACAAGCTGCCCGCTGAGACTCAGCCCAAGGCGCGGCAAAACATGCCGAGACAGGGTCAACGGTTGGTTGCTCAGTGCACCCTGTTTCCCCTGTTTCTTTACGTGACTACAAGGATCATCAACCCCAAAAAGGGTTCCAAGCCTTTGCTACCAAGGTCACTGAACAACTGGGTTGTGTGTTTGCAGCTTCTTCCTGTTCTTTTGGATGAAGAGGTTTACTATACATCAAGCATATTCATGCCGAGTTTCTGGTTGGTTGGTTGCTTGCTTGCTTGTTTGCTTGCTTGCTTGCTTGCTTGCTTGGTTGGTTGGTTGCTTGGTTGGTTTTTTGGTGGGTGGGTGGGTGGGTGGGTGGGTGGGTGGGTTGGGGATTGTTTTTGTCACTCATGTCCTCCCAAAGTCGACAGCAGGACAACTGTGATGTTGGCTGCTGCTCGGAAGGCCAAGCTCATTTGTGGCAACGACAGACGGGGAATTTCTGGGCGATGGATATCGGCAGGGGACCCGTGACTAGGAAACTGTTCACCCTGATAGATTGCAACTGGGGGCCCTTGTGGTCCTTGGGCCTAGTTGGTGCCATTTGGCACCTTTCGAAGGTGTCCCGTTCGGGACCAACCCTTGGGGTTGGGGACGTAAAATCGTAAGGTGCCCTAAGGGAACCACAACATGGCAACACACACTTTCAGAGCTGTCGTGACTAAGGATGTCCCTCAAAATGAACAGGAACCCCGTGGATGGTTCCGAGCAAGTTAGCACAAACTCAGCGATTTGGGGGTAAAGCAAGCTCACCCAAGATGAAGATCCTTTACTGGGAGGCTCTTACATTTCGTTGGAGAGAAGTTGTAATTTCCTCGGAACACACGCCATGGTCAAAGCCCCTTTTGCTTGGTCTCAATACTGATCATGAGCCCCTTTAATGAACTGTCGCCAACCTTTTGGGCGCTGGACTCCTTTCGATTTGACCTGAGAGGTCCGGAGCTTGGTGGTCTATGTCTACTGCCTGGTCCAAGAAGCCTGGAATACCTACGGCGCCTCGGCAGGGATGGGGCCTGCGGCTTTTTGGGCCAAGGGCAATTTGGAGGTGGGAAAAACAAGGTCCCACCCCAACGAGAAGACGTGAACCCACACGCAAAATGGCAAGTTCCCAGGTCCCGAAGAGTTGTCCTGCAAGCAATTGTGGGAAAAGAAGGGTTCCTTAAAAGAGACACACCCATAGACATGGTCAAAACGCACCACGACTTGGGGTTAGCACGGATATGGCAACCCAGTTGAGAGATGAGCTCCTAGGTTTTGGAGGGTGGTGCAACCCATTTAGTAGGGGATCCTTTATTTTGTTGTCCTAAAACCACAGACAAGAATGGGCACCCAAAAAAGCAGGTTAAACGCTCGGGCCCCCCTTTGGAGGGTTTTGAAGTTTTGATGAATGATGTCAAAAACAAACGGTTGGTGCTTGAAATGTTGTGGCACATGCCCAAACGAGCTCATAAGGGACAATTAAAGCACAACGGATGGCCATTTCCATGACAGCTCTGTGAGCGGGCATGTGTGAGCGTGGCTGAAAAGAGTGTGTCGCATGGCCGGCGAGGGTCCACCCGAGAAATCCCTTGCGCGCATGCCCGACGCGTGGTTGGGCAAACTGCCGGCAAGCCAGCACTTCCTGCCAGTTTCCCCGAGACCTAGTGGGTCTTGAAAAAGAAGCCAGCTTGCATCGCGGCTCATTGCGCAAGACGAGTTCCAAAACTTTCCCTCCCGTGTTGAGGACCATTCAAAGAGTGTTACTTGCTTCAGGAAGCACCCACACAGACAAAAAGCGACACATGTCTGTGTTTTTGTGGCGAGCTTTGGAGGCCACAACAAGCCATACAGGCGTCGAAGCATATGGATTTGGCGCCATTTCGCTGGCATCCAAGGCAGAAAAGGCTTGCTGGATGGAAAGAGTGGCGGCCTCAAGGGGCAGTTTTCAGCTCATCGGGTTTTGGTTTGTAACCATCGAACCGTTTGGATAAAGCCATATAACACTCATTAGGATTTAGGTTGCAACCCTGGACCCAAGTCATGCTACAACAAACCGAAACAAGTAACGCCTGCCACTTTGGTTTGGAAGTTTGCCACGTCGATAAACATATCCAAAGGTTTAGACCCGTGCTCTTGGTATCCGTTCAGTGTATCTCCCACCAAAACAAAACATGCCCCTGGTTGGCAACAGTGGCATCATTGACCAATTGCAGCGCTTGATTCTGAATGAAAACGATATCTGTGGAACAATTCCTAGAGCTCTGGATGAGTTTGAGCTACAAGCGACAAAGTCACAAAGGGACCTTGACCCCCGCTGTGGCTACAGATTAGAAGACTTTGCATAGTTGGGCCATAAAACAAAGCACGAGTATTTGGTCTAGGGAAGCAACAAGGATACGCAGGTTCTGAACCCCTTAAAGTAGCTTGAAACCCCATGGCTAGCTTGTTTTTGGGAGAGCATCGAACATGCACGCGTGGCACCTGCAGCGATGGGCCCAAGCCAAAATGGGCGTGTCGCTTGGGCGTTGGCACTTGTGTTTTCAGGGTTGCAACGGGAAACCTAAAGCCAACGGTGCAGATTTTTTGAGGATCGTGTCAAACAGAACCTCACACAAAGCACAAATTGTGAGTTCCGTACAGTGGATTCCCTAAACATTTCAAGTGGGGGACAAGGCAACCCCCCAAACTACTGTACTTTTTCGTGGCTGGGTGGTTGGGTCTGGTTGGTCTACTTGCAATATTTCGCGCATCCCCGTATCCCATTTGCCACGTCTGCCCCATTTGGATTCCCTGGCGATGGGCGAGGGATGGCATGGATCGCTCAAGCGGAGCGCCTCGGATCACATGCGCAAAGGGGTTGTGAGGTTGGGTAGAGGCTCCTCAGCCGATTGTTCCCGAGTCCAAACAAACTTTCGGGCGGTTTACTTTCGGTTTGCCTTTCAAGACATCCAAATTTTGCGAAGGGGCCTTCCGATTTTAGCGTGCGCTGCGAGGAAGCTGGCTGCTCGCGCGCGGCAGAGGATAGAAATTGAGCCCTGGCAGTGTCCACGTTTCGATCCACGAGTAGGCCTTTCTTATTGTTTAAAGAGCACTCTTTGTTGTCTTTTAAAGGAAGGCCAAAAGGAAAACCACCATTTTGGGGGTTCTCCAAAAGAAGACATGAGTGTCCTTTCAGGTTTGTTTCAACACAACTTTCAACTTAAATTTCGTTCCAAACATGTTCAGTGTCATCGGTTGTTCCACAAAGACACCTCGGAGGCGAAGACGCGCCTGCGTGCGTGTGAGTCTGTCCGTGCTTGCGCAGTGGCATGACTAAGGAAGAAGAGTTCGACGAATATGCCGATGAGTTCGAGGAGCATCTAGTGAGCGTGCTCGAGTACAACTTACCAGAGGCACCGGGCAGCTAAAACTTCAAGCGCCTCCATGCGTTACCTCCGCTGCACATGTGCATTGAACCCAAAAATGGGTCCCCCAAGATCCCCAAGAGGAGCTAGCTAAAGCAAGAAAGACGCATGTTGGACCCATATTGGTGTACATATATATATATATACATATATATACATGACTTGGACCAGCCCATACCTTTTTAGGTTAGTTTGGCAAAAAACAGCACTGGTTTAGATGGGTTTGATTTCATTTACCAGGGCCACCTATTTTTCCACAAGGACACCTATGCCCATACCTATGCCCATATCCTTTTTTCCTTTTTGGACCACTGCTCCTCGAGGTCCTGGCTGGGCGGCTGTCGCGTGCGAGCGTCCGCTTCCGGCGCGCCTTGGACCTGGGCTGCGGCACGGGGCTCTGCGGCCGCGCCCTGCGGCGGCGAGCGGCGCTGGATCGCCTCGAGGGCGTGGACCTGTCGGCCGGTCGGGGCGTTCTGGAGGGGGGAGGCGTCCCACTTAGGGATCGTGGATATCGACTGGGTGATTTTTTCGCAGTCAGCCCGAGGTACCCAACTGGGTGATTCGGTGTTTTTTTTTTTACGTTTATTTTAGATAAGGTAGCCAGTAGCCCTTAGTTGGTGGATTTTTGTGGTTTGGGGATTTGAACCACTGTCCTTTGCAGAGGTCTTTCCTGGGACACACTTCCCGCAACGAAACCATGTTCACCCTGAATCTTCAGCTCCTCACCTGGCCCCTTGCGCCCCAGAAAACCAAGAGCTGAGATCCTGCGAATGTCAAGCGTTGGCCGAAATCTTTGGATCGCCTGCCTGGAGCCTTGCTTGCCCTTGGTCAAAGGATCTGGTGGCAAATGATGGCAACCTCGGTTCCAGATTGGTGAATGGTCACGGTTTCGCCCAAATGTAAGAAGGACGTCGCCAACTGTTGTTGGGATACACCTGTTCAATAGATGTCTTGCGGCGGGTTGAAAGCTCATTTCATTTCGGCCACGACTTGCTTGGGGCAAAACAGGGGATGGCCCGTTGCATGAGGGTCTTGGATAAGCATCCGAGCAGGTGGGAACCCAGATGAGGAACCATTCCTCCAGGGGCATTTGGAAATGGCGGCGTTCTGGCAAGGAGTTGATGCTGATGCGCTACGCAACATCCAGTCTCTTTACGATGATGAGCCGTTCGCGTATTTGACAATGACCCAGGGCATTTCTTGACATGTCGCTGAAAGGCCATGTTGCATCACCAAACGATTAAAGCAGCAGCCCAAAGAAGGTGGCCAGGCAAAATCAACTACCAACAATCAACATATATTTTTTTTCCAGATGCCCTTTTGAAGGGAGCCGCCTTTGTGGTTCCACGGTAACTCTGCGGTGTGGTTTCTCTCCACCCGAAGCCCCAAGCCAGGGCGGCATGTTGAAGCGCGCGCGGGAGCGCGGCGGCTATGACCAGCTCTGGCAACGGGATCT